TACTGGTTTATACTGGGACGCGAAATCCCCGCGTTTTTAGGTGAAATTTTGGTGATTGTAGGTGAAATTTTGGCGATTTTAGGCAATTTTTTCACTTTTTTATGGCATTTAAAGGGTTAAAAATGGGTTAAAATGGGATTTTGGGGCACTGGGAATTACTGGGATGGACTGGGATAAGATTGGGATGGACTGGGAGTTACTGGTTTATACTGGGATGCACTGGATGGCCAATATTGGATCCAAGATGGCCACCAAAATAATTTCAAAATGGCTGACAAAAGTGTCTCTAAATGGCCGAAAATTGGCGGGAAAATGCAATCCAAGATGGCTGACATTTGGACCCAAGATGGCCAAAAAATATGTCAAAATGGCCAAAAATTGGTAGGAAAACTAATCCAAGATGGCCGACAACTGTGTTTCCAAATGGTCAAAAATTAGATCCAAGATGGCAGACAAAAATGTCTAAAAATGGCCAAAAATGGGCAGAAAAATTGATCCAAGATGGCCGACATTTGGATCCAAGATGGCCAACGAAATTGTCTCAAAATGGCCAAAAAGGGGTGGGAAAATGGAATCCAATATGGCCGACATTTGGATCCAAGATGGCCGACAAAACTGTCTCAAAATGAATGAAAATCAGTGGGAAAATTGAATCCAATATGGCCGACAAAAATGTCTAAAAAGGGCGGAAAATGGAATCCAATATGGCCGACCTTTACATTCAATATGGCTGACAAAAATGTCTCAAAATGGCCAAAAATGGGCAGGAAAACTGATCCAAGATGGCCGACATTTGGATTGAAGATGGCCGAAATTTGGATCCAAGATGGCCGATAAAAGTGTCATAAAGTGGCTGAAAATTGGTAGGAAAACTGATCCAAGATGGCCGACAAAATTGTCTCAAAATGGCTGAAAATCGGCGTGAAAATGGAATCCAAGATGGCCGGAAATTGGATCCAAGATGGCTGACATTTGGATCCAAGATGGCCGACAAAATAATTTCAAAATGGCCGAAAATGGGCGGGGAAATGCAATCCAAGATGGCCGACAAAATGTCTCAAAATGGCCGAAAATTGGTGGGAAAATGCAATCCAAGATGGCCGACATTTGAATCCAAGATGGCCGACAAAAAAATTTCAAAATGGCCGAAAATTGGTAGGAAAAGTGATCTAAGATGGCCGACATTTGGATCCAAGATGGCCGCCAGAAACGTACTGGGTTATACTGGGAGTCACTGGTTTATACTGGGAGGAAAAATCCCGGTGATTTTAGGTGAAAATTTGGCGATTTTAGGCAAATTTTTCACTTTTTTATGGCGTTTAAAGGGTTAAAGATGGATTTAAAATGGGATTCTGGGGCATTGGGAATGACCGGAGTGGACTAGGAAGAAACTGGAATGGATTCGGGGTCACTGGTTTGTACTGGGAGGAAAAATCCCGGTGATTTTGGGTGAAAATTCGGTGATTTTGGGTCATTTTGTTACATTTTTATGGCATTTAAAGAGTTAAAATGGGATATTTTGGACATTGGGAATGACTGGAGTGGATTGGGAGCAGGCTGGAATGGACTGGGTTATACTGGGAGTCACTGGTTTATACTGGGAGGTGAAATCCCCGCGATTTTAGGCAAAATTTTGGTGATTTTGGGCAAATTTTTCACTTTTTTATGGCATTTAAAGGGTTAAAAATGGGTTAAAATGGGATTTTGGGGCACTGGGAATGACTGGAGTGGACTAGGAAGAAACTGGAATGGATTCGGGGTCACTGGTTTATACTGGGAGGAAAAATCCCGGTGATTTTAGGTGAAAATTCGGTGATTTTGGGTCATTTTGTTACGTTTTTATGGCATTTTAAGGGTTAAAAATGGATTTAAAATGGGATTTTGGGGCATTGGGAATGACTGGAGTGGATGGGGATGGGATTGGAATGGATTCAGGGTCACTGGTTTATACTGGGAGTTACTGGGAGGAAAAATCCCGGTGATTTTACGTCAAATTTTGGTGATTTTGGGTCTTTTTTTTGGTTTTTGTGGCATTTAAAGGGTTAAAAATGGGTTAAAATGGGAATTTTGGGTGACTGAGAAAAACTGGAATGGATTAGGAACAGACTGGAGTGGATTCAGGCTCACTATACTGGTTTATACTGGTTTTTCCTGGTTTTTCTTGGTTTTTTTTCTGGTCCTTACTGGTCCATACTGGTTTATACTGGTCCAAACTGGTTTATACTGGTTTATACTGGTCCATACTGGTTTATAATGGTTTTTACTGATTTTTACTGGTTTTTACTGATTTTTTCTAGTTTTTTCTGCTTTATACTGGTTTATACTGGTTTATACTGGTCCATACTGGTCTATACTGGTTTATACTGGTCTATACTGGTTTATACTGGCAGGGGGACGGCCGTTACGTGGTGTCCAACTCCAAGGACCAATCCGCGAAGCTCTGGGACCTGCGGCGCCCCTCGGGGCCGGCGGCCATCGCGGCCGCGCGCCGCGCCGTGGCCCGGCAGAGCTGGGATTACCGCTGGCAG